TAAGAGTGAGAACTGTATAAAGATCTCCTGGAAGAGAAACATTGAGCTAGCGCAGATCATTGACTCATGTGTAAAGAAAGGTTGTATTAAAATGTACTCAGACTACTGCAAAATGATTTAGAAAACAATAAGACTTTCTATCGTGTTGACTCAAAGCCAAAATAGCCCATCCCCTATTTACTTTTGCATCTTGAACTAATTACAGAAAGTACCAAACTCTTGCAGATTAGAAACAACTGCAGGAAGAAATTCACCATTGATTAACCTGGTGTTACATTTTCCAATGGATATTCACTGTATTCCCTCTAACTTGCTCAGCTTTGTGGCTTCTGGTGCAATTCATTCAGGTCTGTGCACCCATTTGGATACCATCCTGAACCTCAAGTGGTATATTCCAAGTAACGTGCACTGCAAATCAATTTTAGCATCATGTGTACAAATGTACAAAAGTCAGCAGGGACTTGGAGAGATAGTCATGATGTGGTCCAGTGATCTAGAACTCCAGGCAAATGTTTTGGGCACATGTGTTCAAATCCCACCAGGGGAAATTTGAACTCAGTGAAAATCTGAAACAAAGGTTGACAGAAATTGTGATGGAACCACTGTCGTTTACTAGATATGTTGATGTATTCATGGATTTATGACCAGACTCCAATTGAGGTTCTCCACTTCATTACGATTCCAGGTGGGATATCTTAAACTGTTAGACTCCTATGTGAGTCAGGATGAGATAGCTCCCTTCTTTATTCCTCAGTTCCTTGGTTGGTTGCCACAAGGAACCAAGTGAAATGACATTTTAAAAGAAGACAATTTAGCCAGGACTTCTTTATTTAACTAAAATGAGTGAGTGTATTAATTATTGTATGCAAGAAGAGATGCTTATAAATCATATGCACAGATTAAAATAACAGGTGACTCCAAAAAGTTACAACTAAAAAAGTGATATGATGAGTATCTGACTTATTTGTGAAGAGCAGACAAGATGACATTGTGATAGTTATTGTTGCACTTACACTATGGATGCTGGCAGCTGAACATACAATATTGAGATTCTTGCTTTTGTGGTCTGATGGAACGTCCTTTGGTCTGTCTTTTTTTTAAATTGCAGCATTCAAAGTGAGAAGGAGTCTTTCTTTACCTACAACATGTGGATAACTAGGAGATAGCTCTTTGACTTTGATCTTCACAGCATGCTCATGCTGAAACACATCATAATACGCATCAAAGTGTAGTCTCTCGAGATCATGCCAGTAGATTTGAAATTACTTTTTAACCTCTGTCATTGTGTATTCTTTAAAGGGAGCAACACAAAATGTGTCTGCAATGTAGAAACGTAATCCACAGGGGTTGCATGTTGTTAACCCCAGGTGGTTAGCCCCTTGTATTCATTGTTGTGAAAATATCACACTCCAGTTTCCTTGATAACTTCCACGTGCAACATTCCATTGGCTTCACACAGGAGTCATTGAATTTAAGTCCACACTTTTTCTGGAGAAGTCCTCCTTTTAAAACCAGCACATTTTTGAATTAAAAGTAAAGAAGACGTCTCTCCATACTTTGGGGTTTTGATCCACCGTCATAGCAATTGTTCCAAAATTTGCAGACAGTATCAAATTGGGGAATGAAGCACAGGAACAATGAACCAAAACGCAGAAAAATGTAAAGAGGTTAGAGCTAATTGAATAAACAGCAAATTAATTTCAACATAACAAAGTATGAGAAGGTTCATTTTGCCACTTCTTCAAAATGTAATGAACTAGTGGCATTGAGGATCATTCCCTTTCATTAAAAAAAGAAGCAATCCCTGTTATTAAGGCCATGAACAATGTTATGTTCTGCTATTTGATGTAAACATACCAATTTGGAGCTAAGACAATATACAGCCAATATTAACCAGTAGTTTTTATTGCAACAATGTACTTTGTTCATAAAAATATCTTTATGTACAGTGCTGTACAGTAGCATATGGAGAAACAAACACTGGAGTTTGACTTGATCCAAAAAAACAAACCAGAGGCATTTCTTACTTATATTGTACAAGACTATATTTACACATAATTGAGGCATCAGCGGGTGGGGGTGGTCCGATAACTGAAGGACCTCCATTTAACATCGGCAGACAGAACTTAGACGGTGCTCTTTCCCCATTACACCTTGGTGGCAGCTGCCCCAAGCTTCAGTGCACTCCCCATCATGTAGTCCTAGACCTTGGAATGTGCCAGTCTGCAACACATGGTTGAGATCAACTCCTTGCTGTATACACCTGACTTCTGTACCTGCTGCTACTGCTGTGGACTGATAGAGAGTTACAGGACGAAAACCTCAGATACTGGCCTCAGTACTGTGATTGACAATAATAAGATCTGTCTCCTTAAGAACACATGTAAACTGTATCACAACAAGGAACATAACATTTAATTTCTCATGGAATAAAGAAGTGGGGCGCAATACTAAATGTATACAGAACCCTAATTTGACTGTACCTGGAGAGCTGTACAGAGTGACACAAGAGGCAGGAGCAAGACCAGATAACTTGACTCTTTGAATCTGCTTTGCCAGTGACCAAGATTATGGCTGATCGAGTGCAGCATCTTTTCCCTGCATTACCCCTTAAATGCCTTAGTATCTGAAACTACTCATCCATATTTGTAATTTACGAAACTAACCAAATATCCACAGCTGCCTGGAGTAGAATATTTCAAAATTCTTCTTTGACAGGTAAGACCTGAAAGAAATTTTCAGCGTTGTAAGGGTGTTTAATGAAATACCAGTGATTGAAGAGGATAACATTGATAAATTTAAGAGGAGGTTTATGTATAATTGACAGATTGTTGCATTTTCACTGGGTATCCAGCTTGCTTTCTGAAAAGGTGACGTGACATCCATTCTGACTTTTCAAAACAAGGTCCACTTCCTTAACTCAGACTGTTTGGAGGGTGGTTGTGTGGCTTTCTCCGGAAAGAGATTCCAGATGTTGAAATCCCACGCAGTGAGAACTGTCAGCGAAACTAGACGCTGGCAGAGTCTTTTACTCAGCAGAACCACCAAGAAGGCTGCAGCTGGTGCGAGTACAACAAGCAGCATTATGAGGACCAAGGTGTCAGGTGGTGTTGTTTGGAAGTTGGATTAGAGTCATAGAGAGAGGGGGGAGAGGCAGATTAGAAGCAAGGGCAGGGGATGATTCTCGGCAACCACTTCCTGCCTTAGGACAAGTTCTTTGATCATGCATACGTTGGTGCGGATCGAGGGACCACCATCCCGCCTGCCAGAACTGACAGCCTGGCTCAACTGTTTTACCATTCAGGTGGGCTAACTCTTTTTCTCATCTTGTCTGGAGCTGACGTCCTCACAGCATAGTATGGCAACTGCTCTTCCCAAGACTGCAAGAAACTACAGAAAGTCATGAATACAGCCTGGTCCCACACGCAAACCAGCCTCCCATCTATTGACTCCATCTATACTTCCCACTGCCTTGGGAAAGCAACCAACATAGTCAAAAACCCCTCCTACCGCAGTTATACTCTCTTCCTCCAACCTCTTCCGTCAGAAGCCAAAAAAGTTTGAATACACATACAAACAGATTCAAGAACAGTTTCTTCCCTGCAGTTATCAGAATTTTGAATGGACCTCTCAAATGTTAATTCTGATCTCTCTCTCTCTCTGCACTTTCTCTGTGGCTGTAACACAGGATTCTGCACTCACTTTGTACAGCACAATCTGCCTGTCCAGCATGCAAGACAACATTTTTCACTGTATCTCGGTACATGTGACAACAATCAATCAATCAGATCATTGTGGCACTGGTAGAAATAGGCTCTTAATTGGACTGTAAGTGATCATTAATTGAAGATTGAGCTTGGACCTTCCTGTCCAAAACATAATCCCATTTGAGCTAGGAAAGTGGCATGTTTCTGGGGTGCCACTACACCACCTGATTCAGCAGGCTTTTTGCCAACAGGCCTGTCCAATCTGAGGCTAGAAGATCCTGAACAATCCTGAGAGCACAAGTGGAGGGCATAGATGCAGGTTGGGAAGGGTTAATGAGAATAAAAGGAGGTTTGTGTAGAGTATTAACACCAGCATTGACCCTTTGGTACTGAAGACCTATTTCTCTGCTCGAAATCCCATGTACTTCCTGGTAAGTATCTTCTGTATTCTTTTGGAGCTGTGTTTGGCGATAGAGCATGAGGAGCATGGAGAGGGTGAATAGCCAAGTTCTTTTTCCTAGGATGGGGGAGTCCAAAACTGGAGGGTGTAGGTTTAAAGTGAGAGGGGAAATATTTTTAAATGACCTGAGGGGTAACACAAGGGCGGTGTGTGTATGGAATGAGCTGCTAGAGGAAATGGTGGAGGCGGGTGCAATTCCAGCATTTAAAAGGCATCTGAATGGTTATATGAATAGGAAAGGTTTAGAGGGACATAGGCCAAATACTGACAAATGGGACTAGGTCAGATTAAGATGTGTGGTCAGCGTGAACAAGCTGGACTGAATGGCCTATTTCCATGTTATATAACTCTAATACTCTATGTCAGTAGAAACCCACTTTGCATTTGCTGGGAATATCCAAAGCTTGAGGTAATTAATACTGACATCGTCATTGTTTTCCATAATGAATTCTATTTATTTGGTCAAATTAACAGTAATGAACATTATAAAACGTTGGAGCAGTCATTGATTACTGCAATTTACCAGTCAACATAAAAGTACATATGTATTACTCATTTAACCTTTGAAAAAGATACTGCAATAATGGATTTGAAATCTTTTAATTTGGGGGATAAATCAATTGGTAATGGGATCAGGTGACCAGCAGTTGAATTACTAAAGTGAAGATTGCTTGCATAAAACCATCAGAAGATCATTACACTCCTTTAATAAAAGAATCAAGGACAACAGGATTGTTAAATAATTCATTTCACAGGAACAATGCTCCCCACGATTTTCCAGATCTCTACTACTAATGTATCAAAATTTCTGAAAGTGGATTTTTTTTTTTCAGTGATAATGAAGATAAACCATTGAAAGAAAGCCAGCAATCACTGAATGAGGTGAAGCCAACTGGAAGTGATGACAGTTTGGCAGTGTATGAAGATGGTGGACCAGAAGTGCAGTTTAATGAAGATGGTTCATTCATTGGACAGTACAGAGGAAATAAGGAGAATGATGCAGCAGATGAAAATGGAAGTTCTATAGCCACCTCTCCAATGAAAGCATGAGAAACATGTTCATAAACTTCACTTACTTTCTTTTAGTGAATTTGTTGTACAACTGAATATTTGTTACACATTAACTCAGATTGCCAACAGGCTAAAAGAAAATAGTTGATCAGGCCCTAACGGATGCTTATCCAATATTTGACAAAGACTAAGATGCATGGGATATTTTGTTGCAGTCCACTTCTCAGTCTAAAGGATATGTTGTGCAAAATCCATGTAAAATGCAAGTGTCTGTAGGTTTGTAACACAAATGGCTTCTAGTTGCTGATGAAGTAATTGCTTATAACCTTTTAAATCCTTGCTGCTGTTATTAGCAAATTTGAGTCCCTTTGTTACAGTTTGTTTAGGTGTCTTGTGATCCTACATGTTTAGAAATTAAGAACCTGCAGAACTGAGATTGATATCACTCATGAACCTAAGGAGACCAACCCCTGGTGCACCAATGCCTCTTAATGCAATGACTATGGCAGCTGAAGGGACCAAGAACATTTTTCCTCTGTTTTTGTTTAGCCAGTAGAAGATCTCACAAAATACAATGATCACAATTTGCAAACTAAATTTTGTGGCTACAGGAAAAAAGTAAGAAATTAATTATTTATATGCAGAATTCTATCGAGCAAAAAAGGTCCAGAATCCTCCTCTGAGTTTACAGTGATAACTTCCAGTGGAAATCTGATTTGGAATTGAATATTTTTAAAGAATGGCATGCAGAGGATGATGGAAATTCGTGTTAAAAATGGATGCAAACTTGTTTAACTCGCAACAATGGAACAATTGATTTGTCAGAATCATAAATCATTCTGTAAACTGTACCATTGTTAGGGATACATATGACTATACAATCCTTGTGTCTTATTTTTCTTCAACTATGCTCTTTATCCAAAGTTCTGCATTTAATGATTGTATTCAGTCACCTATTTTAGTTATTATCAAGTCAAAACAGTGCAATGTACATTTTTGTAATTAGGAATACATTTAGAATTTGGAGGAAAACTGCTGATAATTAATTTTCAGCAGACCAACAATGTTTTTAAAACAATATTCCTGCTACAAATTCTGGGTAAATACTTAAACATTAATTTTGTTGATTCACAGCCTATGTGTCAATAAGAAGTATCTAAGTGTCTGATTTATATTGTGTGTAACATAGGTAAAACATAGCTTCATGATATTGAACTAAATAAACTACATGTTTCCACCTCAGAAAATTTGTATACTTCAAAGAATTTTACATTCATTTATTATTAGTGAACAATTGTGATGTTATTGTATTTGAGTCAAAGTTTTTATTCGTAGAGTTCCAATAAGTCTAATTTTTGTTCTTGTTTAACAGTGCATGGTAATTTTTTTATTTTAAAAGTATTTCAAATTGTGACATTTTTGTAAAACGAACAAATAATATTTATATTAACAAATTGGAGAGCATTTGCCAACTTCTGCAATTGTTGCACATAACTTTACAGTACTTACAATGGCAAAAAGCTGACTAAATATGAATGTGACAGATGTTTTAAAATTCATGTTTTGCAGTGGTCTGGTTTTTAAGGAACAATTGGCATTAGATATTTTAGTGGTTAAAAAAGACCGAAAGTAGTTATGTATTTTCATGAGCCTTATTAAACATGCATGTCATATCGCATGCAAATTTACAATTTTTTAAAGTGTGGCAACATGTTTAAGCTTTGGTTCATGTATGGCTGTGTATCATTCCATATTAACTCCTTTTATCAGGGTGAATTATTTGTGTAGCTACCATATTTACAGAAAATGAATCATTTGTAAATCACAGATTTAATCTTGCCAGATTTGGAGGAAACAGTTTTCTAATGATGATCAGATTCAATAAAATTACTCTCAATGCAAGGGTGTTTCTATATTTTCTGTAGTAAGGGAGTACGCTTTCAGTTAGGCATGCTTCTTTTTAAAAAAAAATTGATTGATGAACCAAAGTATAATTTCAAAGCCTTATGTTTGTATGGTATGCTTCATTTTATTGTACTTTTGGACTTCAATTCTACATAATTGTCAGAATGGGCATCACACGCAAAGACAAATGCAATGCCAACCAATGCCCTTAAGCACAAAATGTGAGGGCAGATATTTGCTTTTAAAATAAAATTTATGTCCAAGGGTATAATAAACCAAATATTGACTGCAGTTTTCAGGCTATTTGTAAACTATTGCTCCTCAAGTTACAGAGGTAATATGTTCAGTATGCATGGTGTACATTGCTCCTTTTGACAGTCTTGATCACTGTAGCTGCTGGCTCAATTGCTTACCAATATAGTCTTCAATCGCAATCAGTAACTGTGTATCATGATACGTCTTCTCAAAAGAAACTTTGAAAACTTGTATCAAGTTTAACATAACAACTTTCATAATTTGTATGCTCACTCAGATATTGTAAAATCCCCTAAGAATTATTGTTAACTTATTTAACTCGTAGTGAAGTGATGTTATTAAACAGTCTGTATGGCTATAGTACTTGCAGTCACTGTATTAGATAGAAAGCTGTGACAAATGTACTTTATAGTATATGCCCCCATTTTAAAAGTTCAGATACTCCTTCAAGTGATACAATTGTGTGTTCTCACTGAAAGAAAAGTCATGTAAGGTTTGCAAATTCATCTTTTCTACCTGTACAACGTTCTTGTGTTATACGAGATCATCATGGAATGTTTCCGCGACTAATATGTATTGTGTAAATGATCTTGTGATCTTTCCAAACATGGATGTTTGTCTTATTAAATACAGAGTAACAAATGTTTTATGTGTCTGTTGGTACTTAAACATATCATAGAATCATAGAATCCCTACAGTGTGGAAACAGGCCCTTCAGCCCAACAAGTCCACACTGACCCTCAGCGCACCCACCCAAACCCATTCACCTATCACACACCTAACCTACACATCCCTGAACACTATGGGCAATTTAGCATGGCCAATCCATCTAACCTGCACATCTTTGGACTGTGGGAGGAAACCAGAACACCTGGAGGAAAGCCACACAGATATGGCGAGAATGTGCAAACTCCACACAGTCACCCGAGACTGGAATTGAACACAGGTCCCTGGTGCTGTGAGGCAGCAGTGCTAACCACTGTGCCAGCGTGCCACCAAATTATATCATACCATTTATATTAATTACTCCAGAGTAATAGCATTTCAGTCTTTCTCAGGAAGTAATCTTGTCAAAGTGTTTTGACATATCCCTGGGTGCCTTCTGAAAATACTAAAGTTCTTCTAGAATCTCTGTTGCAGTTAATGAAATTCACTGTTAGCTATCCAAAAGAAAACAATCCCATGTCACAGAAAGTTTTTTTTTGGGGGGGAGTGGAGTGGTGAGGACTGTAGCATATAGAAAAAGATACCATTGATTAAACAAAAATGTTGCCACAGTCCCATTAGAAAAAGACAACAACTGGTTTAAACTGACAGTCACCACACCTCCGCCAAAAGGGGCAAGGTTGAGAAGGTAGAACTTTATGGTCACCTTGCCCAGTGTGGGTATTGAACAATTGGTGTTATTCTGCATCACAAACCAGTCATTCCATCAACTGAGCAAACAAACCAACTTGGTAATAAGTCAACACATATACAGAAGAACACTTCTTTTTGATTGCCATTCAATGACTCTTGGCAATACCATCCAAAAAACAGAAGACAGACAGTCAAGAGCTCCTTGTACCTCTCTAGCACCTCCCATGGCCACTCCACTGTGTGTTTGTATTACAGCCTGACATATAATCGTGGATCAAATGTACTTTACTCCAGTATAGATTAGAAAGAGTGAAGCCAAACAGGGTGAAATTTACCTCTGTAGTAAAGTTTATTTGTGTAATATGAGGTCTCTAATGCATGATGCATTGTGACAGTTTGTATGTCATTCTAATTTGATGCCAGTAGTTCCAATTTGTAGCTGCAGCTTCTAGCTATCGCTATATAATGAATGCAATGTTAAGGAACACAAAGGAGTCTCATCCACCAGCAATATTCAGAGGACCATCTATGACTTGCAGGTTAGTTGCTAGGTTATTTTTACTGTGTATTTGTTTCTGCAGTTCTACACATTTTAGCTTTACGTGGCACTTGTTCAAAGTTTCAATCATCATCCATTAATTTCATTAATTGTGTCTGCTCGAGCAGTTCTTTGCAGACGTAGGTTGCGAAATAGGGCTTTCTCTTGGACAAAACTGGGAGAATGAGCAGGCGTCATTCAGAATAGGAAAAGCTGCTACAAGATGGAGGTGGAGTCGACGTAGTGCTGTCAGCAGCGTTCCTTGTCATAATAGGCAGCACTAGCTCCTCCATGGAGATGAAAGAATGCAGGTCTGCCTCTTCTCTTTCACAATTCTTGCTACTGCACTGATCTTACCTGTAAGAGATGGTTCCCATCATCAAAAGCTCATCAGTGTGTGTGATATGTGACATCTAGAGTGAAAATTGCCATCGTGGCTAAATTTTGAGTATGCAGCGAAGCACAGCAATGAATGTTCATTGTAATAGATTGAAGAGAATTTGGAGTGTTGGTTTGTGAATTGAACAGTGGATAAGCTTGAGACTGTGATGATTTCATGCATTTCGTGATTCATAAGGCAGACAAACCTGGTGCGTACACTGGTATCCGCATGTAGTTTTCCTGGATCAGAGCTCTACCATGTTACCAGAAGTTAATCCATATAAAGCATGGCTAACTAGGAGACTCCCCTAATTTAATCACTTGCTGTAGTATACTAGAAGTATTTGCAATGTTTATTTGGCCATTAACCCTTGGGATGGGACTCAAACAAAGGGCTTTTGGCACAGAGGTAGAGTTACTATGAACTGTGCTACAAAACCTCCCAGTGAATCAAATTAATGATGCTGTATTAGGATACGACCTTAGCAAACCATTCCTTACCTGGAATTTTATATGTGATTATTAAACCTCTTCCTGCACCACATACATACCTTTGAGGCTATATTCTGGGCACAATCTTCCAGGGGCATGAACATTGTGGGCTAGTGCACAAAATGTGGCAGAATTGCAGCAGAGGTCAAGCCAGACCTCTCCTGACATTGGGAACAACTCACTGCATTTTTAAGTCAGACCTGGATGTTGAGGTGAGATTCCTGCTCAGCAAGAGCGAGTTGCTTGCTAAGAGGAATTATTGCTTGTTAACAACTTGATTAACTGTACATCTTGCCTCATTAATATGCAGCTTTCCATCATATCACTGACCATAAGTAAGCTAGAGCGTGAGAATTCTCGAAATGGAAGTCAGACGAGGTGCCCACTGACTTTAGCTCACCACAGGCTGGGAAGAGCCGTTATGTTGGTTACCATGCAACAGCATCTAAGATATGATGCATGAGCACCAGACGTACACATCTCTGGTCTATGAACATTGGCATTGCCAACTCCTCAGGATCCTCGTTGCATTTCTTCAATCCACTTAGGAAGTTGAGTCCCGTATTTTAGACCACACCAGCAACTAACATTAAAAGTCTGCTACAAGGACACTATGCACGTGGTGATAGACACGCAGCTCATGATTATACTCGGCTGCATCTCAGGGCTGCTTGTTTGCTGACTTTGCACTTTCTTACTTAGTCCTGACCTGCATGCATGCAATATCCCTGTTTCACCTTGCTGTGCCATGCATGTTAGCATGTTGGTGCTCCAACCAGAGCCAAAGACTGTCAGTACGGCTGCCTCGATGTGCTCTTTAGTGCAGACACACAAGCTGCCCATCATGCTTATCAGTAGGAATCTGTCCAAAGGTGGCGAACATATTGCTGTATGGCACACTGAGACATAGAAAGATAGAAAATAGGAGGAGGATTAGATCATTTGGCCTTTCCATCTTTCAGTATGATCACAGCTGATCATCAAACTCAGTAGCCTGTTTGTGCTTTTCCTCCATTTCCTTTGATCCCTTTTGCCCCAGATGCGATATCCAATCTCTTCTTGATATCATAATGTCAACCTAATACCGAGAGAATGTGCTAGCTGCCGACACAACAAGCACACTACACATATGTTCAACCAGATGGTCACATTGTGGAGCAGTCAAAGCTGAGAGAGGGAGGAGGGTGCTGAGGCAGAGGCATGTGTCAGGTTGGGAAAGTAATGGTAATGAGAGAAAAATCAAAATATAAGGGTTCCCAATTATGAGATCAGTGCTACAGTTCAGGCAGTAGGATTGGGGAACAGAGCTGACTTCCTCCAGGAGCAGATTGTCCTCATCTGTATACACATGGCACTGTATCACAACTCTGTGGAATTCATCTAGAGGAAGAGCTTCCATTCCATTAATGTTCATGTGACCTGTGATCACATTTACCGCTTCACAAGGTGAGTGCACAGTCCCCTGACATCTGCCGTCACTCCCACATTCTGATGTGTTTGAGAGTCCAGGTGCCTTACAAGGCTGCCTACTGGGGCACAAGGGCTACCCACTGTAACCATAGCTTATAATACCATTGCGCAATCCAGTTTCAGAGCCGTGGCCCAGATATAGTACTGCTCATTCGCCACCCAGGGTCTTGGTTGGCAGACAATGGGCTGCTGAAGATGGGCTTTGTGGACTGGTTTGTGAGGGGTTCTCCAGTTTAGTCTCGACAAAGTGTGCTGCATCACTCCAGTGTGCAGTGTTGTACACAATTAGAGCAAGCAAAGAGGCAATGTGCTGGGTTCTGAGGAATTGGAGGAATCAGAACAATGTTCTGAGGAGGAGAGTGAGAACATAGGGGAGGGGTTAGCTCTCCTTGACGAGATAGGGCTCACAGCTTTGAGTTTTCCAAGTCAGACAGGACCTAATGGACACCCAGCTCCAGTAAATGAGAGCAGAGTGCAGCAGACAATCATGGAATGTAAAGTAGCTATTGGTCATCATGCCAGCATTTGGTTTGCTTTGTAGAGTGAACGGCAGACTCTAATGGTTTTGTTTGTGTTTGCTTCTGCTGATTGTAAATTAAAGCTCATCATTGCAATTGTCTGATTGGTGCCTGCATGTGATGGTCCCCCTACCGGGCAATGATAAGACATGCTTCTGCAGTGGGTGTTGTGGATAAAGCAATGGTGACTTAGTATGTTTAAGTGGACTACATCTACGGACAGATGTCTGGGGTTATATATGCAAGAGAGTGTCAGCCATGCTGGCTGCATGCCACGAGTGGCATTGTGTGATCGCTATTGCTATGATGCAAGGAGGGCACAGAAAAATGGAAGAGGATCAGTTGTGTCAGCAAGCCCAGGACAAGCAGCAATCTCCAGCAGCTGCCAAACAGCCTTCATATGAAAGCATTGAAGCTGAAAGTCCCTTCAAGATGTGAAGGCAGTGCAGGAGGCCCGGAATCACTCGGCCTCAAAGTCATTGTCTCCCGATGAGCAAGGGACAGTGTTGCTGCAAACTACCATTGTTCTAGGGCACTTTCACAGAAATATGTCAACTGTTAGAGCAGGACATATGACCCAAAGGTGGGTGGCTGTCCTATTCCTCATGCCTGTCAAAGTGATATCTGTGCCAGTGTAAATGGCTGTTTTCAAGTCTCCATTGGGAACTTGTGTGGGATCTCGCAGACCTCAACACACAAATGTTTCAAGGCTGTTAGCAATGCAGTTTGGGTCAGATCACATTGCTTCACCTCAATTCCCCATGACAAGATCTGCACTGAATCATGGGTAGCAGGTTTTGCCAACAAAGCTGGCAAAGGGGCTATAGTCTATACACACATGACACTGAGAGAACGGTATCAAAACACAGC